TTTAAATTCTATTTTAGACTTAACCTCCTACTTTTTTGAATTTGGTAATCTAAGTACATAACTAATTTTAACTTCTCAGTCCTCGTGGGTACGACCTCGTACTTGTCTTGCTATATTACTAATTGGCCCGTACAATTGCGAGTTAACATTTTAACAACAAAGCCTCATGTCGTATGTACTCAGATTCCATTTCAAAGCCATATAAAGGCAATGCTTAAATTTGCAAAGCTCCTCCACCACAAAGGTTTCCATATAACCTTTGTCAACACAGAGTTCAACCACAAGCGGTTTCTTCAATCTCTTACACCCAACTCCCTCGGTGGCTTGCCTGATTTTCGATATGAATCGATACCAGATGGCCTTCCAATAAGTTCAGATACCGATGATGATGGAAATACTGTCCAAGACATCCCTTTGCTTCTTGATTCCATCAGAAAAAAAATTATTGGCTCCGTTTCGAAACCTCCTCAGAAAACTCAATGACACTGCATCTTCCAGTGCCAACAATATTATTATTAATAATCCTCCAGTGACATGTATGGTTTCAGATGGTTTTATGACATCCACCATCACAGCAGCCGGAGAGCTTGGAATTCCTGTGGTACTCTTCTTTACCATTGCTGCAGCCGGCTTCATGGCCTCTTAAACAATGTTCTGTTTTGATGGAGAAAGGACTTGCGCCACTCAAAGGTGTGAAAGAGAAATGGGGAAGCAATTGTTGTTTCATGTATGATTATATATTGCTTGTTTTTAAACAAATTAATGATGCAACTTTTCTTTACTTGGGTCTTCTGTTGTAGATGAGAGCTGTTTGACAAACGGCTTTTTGGACAAGGTAATAGATTGGGTTCCAGGAATGCAGGGTATCCGTTTAAGGGATCTCCCAAGCTGCTTTCGAACGATAGATCCAGATGACATTGTGTTTAACTTTGCCAGGGAAGCAATGGATAGGGTTGATAAGGCTTCAGCAGTTGTTGTTCACACTTTTGATGCGTTGGAGCCACATGTTTTGGATGCTCTTTCATCTATGCCTCCACCTGTTTATGCAATAGGCCCTCTACAATTACTTCTCAATCAGTTACCAAAAGACCCTTTGAAACCTATGGGATACAGTCTATGGAAAGAAGAAACTGAGTGCCTCCAATGGCTAAACTCCAAGGCACCAAACTCAGTTGTTTATGTCAATTTTGGGAGTTTAGTGGTCATGGCACCACAACAACTTGTTGAGTTTGGATGGGGACTTGCAAATAGCAAGCTTCCCTTCTTATGGGTAATTAGGCCGGATTTGATTGTTGGTGAATCAGCAATTCTGCCACCTGAGTTTGAGTTTGAAACTAAAGAAAGAGGTCTAATAGCAAGTTGGTGCCCACAAGAGCAAGTCCTGAACCACCCATCCGTCGGAGGGTTTTTGACACACAGCGGTTGGAATTCAACCATTGAGAGTCTAACTGCGGGTGTGTCTATGCTCTGTTGGCCAGTCATTGCTGAGCAGCACACCAATTGTTACTATACTTGCAATGAATGGGGCAGTGGCTTGGAGATTGATAACAATGTGAAGAGAGATGAAGTAGAGAAGCTTGTTAGAGAGTTAATGGAGGGGGAGAAGGGCAAGAAAATGAAAATTAAGGCCATGGAGTAGAGGAAACTAGCAGAAGAAGCCACTGGTCCACATGGTTCTTCATCCATAAACATGGACAATTTGGTGAATCAAGTGCTATTAAGAAAAAAAAATAGAGATTATTCGTAAGAATAATATTAATTTTTGTTGTTAATGTTATAGCAAGATGTATTCAACTTCCATTTCCAAGCCATATAAAGGCAATGCTGAAATTAGCAAAACTCCTGTACCATAGAGGTTTTCATATAACCTCTGTCAACACAGAGTTCATCTACAAGCACTGTCTTCAATCTCCCGGTCCCAATTCTCTTGATGGCTTGCCTAATTTTCGATTCGAAACAACCCCAGATGGCCTTCCCAAATGATGTTGTAAAGGCCAAAACAAAAAGGTGTGACACACAAACTATCACTATTTAACATACCATGAGACCAGAAGAAGCTAGTAAGTTACATCCCTTGTGAGTGTGTGTGGACCACCATCTGTCAAATGAAAAGTAATAAATAAATTCACAATTCATAAGAACATTATGGCCATAATTCATATGAGTGAATATGCATCCCTGACATGTGTGTTTCTGTCCAACTGAAACTTCCCCCAAACTACAATGACAGATTAAAATGTCAATTATGTTACAATTCCACTAATTCAAAACATTAAAACACATAACCAGACAAAATTTGTATACACATTGGCAAATGCAATTATACATTTACAAAATACCCAAAACCTTGATTTCTTTTCTTTCCCAACCCAACAATATAATTATTTCATCAAGAAATTGAATATTTTCCTATGATGGTTTATTTCATTATTGAAAGATTTGTGCTTTCAGCTGCCTCAAATTTCAACTTTGTTGCATTTTGCTAGAAGATTAAATTTTCATTCTCTCATTGCAACTGCTTGATGTTTCCAACTCCATACTTTTTTTCTAAATTGTATCCCATAAGATCCATCTAACCCAAAAATCGAAAAAGGAGAAAAGAAAACAGAGAATTGAAAGACTCACAGTAAATTCGCCGTCGATCAAGAGCTTGAGAGAAGTGAGGGCCGAGAAAGCCAAAGCCTTTTTCTCGTCACTTCGCCGTCGATCCCAGCTCCCTCTCTCTCTCTCTCTGTCGATCAGATCCAACGGTCGAATGGGCCTTTGGCTATGGGGATGAGTTTTGGACCGTTGGACCGTTGGATGTACAGCGTATCTGAAATCACGTCAATATTACCCTTACTGCTCTTTGTATTCTACCAGGGTAGAATCGACATAAGCTTCGGGACTGATCAGATGAGAGCTCTCATGAAAGGAAGAAGGAAAATCATAAGTAGTCCTGTTTCTTGAGAATTGAGGAAATTTGGGTGAGAAATTCAGGGTTTTTCATTCTACCGCTTGTAACAAAAATGCAAGATGATGATTTTGCAATCTTTTGCCGACTAGAACAACAATTGTCAACAACAAATTGTTGGTTTTGAGAGGCATGGCGAACATGTTAGTTATTTGGAGCTCTTTATAAGACTTATTCTTGGATATATAATAGTTTGTATTGGCTACGCAAGTGGCCTAATTAAGGAGTTTGTGGGTATGATCTGTGATGTAAATTAAACCCGATTATTTATTTTTAAAAAAAAAATTAGGGAAAAATTGAGATTTTTTTTAAATATATATTATTTTTATTCAATAATATGTGAGAATTATGTGTATAATACATGAATGATTTCCCATATAATAAAGGATTGGGACATTTTAGAAAAAGTAAAAGGAGAGAGAAAAATTTTAAAAGAAGCAAAAATGAACAAAAATGTCCTTATTTATTTTTAGATTTCCTAAGGAATCCAATACATTTGCATGTCTTTGATTTGAAAGTTGAGCTGTTTTTTTGTGTTTTTTGAAAAAGCTTTGGCTTTTTCCAAAAGTGAAATTTTTTTTATGTCTAAAACCTAAAAAACCTTAAAGGGATTAGGCTCTTGGGTTATAAAGAAATTTAATTACGACACCCAAATGATTTCAAAAAAGACTTAATAAATATAAATTAATTATTTTGTGGACTTTTTCTTTAATTTGTTTTATATTAAATAATAATTAAAATATAATTAGTAATTAAAGTAATTCAAAAAGGCTAAGATATTGCTCAATTATATATATTTAATTAAAGAAATAGGCCAAAAAACAAAAGTAAAGAAACTAATTTTTTTCATATTTTAAAATAAAAAATAAAAAACCTGTTCCGAAGAAAGTTAGTCGACACAGGTTTATGTTGGCTAAATTTCCCATATTAAATTTTCTTTTTGAACATTAAAGCCGCACGGCTATACTATTTATATATTTAAAAGAGAAATTTGCATAAATACCACATGAACTTTCAAGTATGTGCGTCATTACCACCTGAACTTTTAATTTTTATTTTTAACCACCTGAACTTTGTAAAGTGTTGCAATCCACTACCTGCGTTTAACTCCGTTAAAATTTTCGTTAAGTTTAAGGGTATTTTCGTCAATTAACTATAACAAAGAATAATTATATAAAAAAACAGAATTAAAAATACAAAAAAATAAAGCTAACCTCCATATCTCTCTCTCTTCTCTCTACTCCATCGTCTTTATTCCACCAAATATCATAGCAGATTGTAATGGTCCATTCATTTTGTTGCCTTCCTATATTTCCTTTTTTTTTTTTTTTTTTTTTTTTGGCCAAAGCCTTCCTGCATTCATTTTGTGGCTTGCACTATTTGTTCAAAGGCTTGTCCTTCATTTCAATGGAAGTTTGCATATCGAAAAAAAAAAAATTTCAGACTACAATTACTCTATCTCACCCTTAATCTAGTAAATCAAAAAATTTAACATCAAAGCTAGAATTTAAATTTTGTAACTTCATCATGGGTTTTGGGAAGAATCAATTGCATTCTTAGTATATATAAATCCCAAAAAGGTCCTAAACATCTGCAGAGAGTGGGTTTTAGGAGATGCCAACAACCCACACAAGAGATGCCAAGAGACAAAAAGATGAATATAGAGTATGGTGTGTGCAGAGAGTGGGTTTTGGGAGGGTGGGTTTTTTTGCAGTGGAGAGAATTGCCATTGGAAAAGTTGGAAAAGTAGGAGTAGGGTAGGGTGAGGGCGCTGTAATTAGGTTAATCTTTTTTTAAAATCTGTTTTTTTATATAATTATTCTTTGTTATAGTTAATTGACGAATATACCCTTAAACTTAACGGAAATTTTAACGGAGTTAGATGTAGGTGGTGGATTGCAACACTTTACAAAGTTTAGGTGGTTAAAAATAAAAATTAAAAGTTCAGGTGGTAATGACCCACATACCTGAAAGTTCAGGTGGTATTTATGCAAATTTCTCTATTTAAAAAAAGGACACACCCAGCGTATAGGTGCCATGTGTCAAAACAGTACAGCCGGGCGGCTATACTATTTCTAAAAACAATTGAAAACACGTGTATAGCCGCTCGGCTATACTATTTCTTAAAGAAAATTCAAAAAGAATCTAGTATTGCCGGGCGGCTACACTCTTTATATATATACACCTGCCCAGCACCTATGCGCCAAGTGTCAAACAGGTACAGCCGTGCGGCTGTACTATCAAGTATAGCCGTGCGGCTGTACGACCGATGTTGAAAGCAAAACCTGGTCATGGGCAGAAATGTATTTTCACCGATTAAAAGGATTTCGCAATTTTGAAACTGAAAGTCGACTTTAAATAGAGGAAAAAGCGAGCGAAATGGGAGGGGAAAAGGGGAAAATGGGTAGGGTTTCTTGATTGCGATGTTTCAACGTACGATTTGTGGTCGAAAGTGCCATGTTTGGAAGAGAGACAGTGTTGATTGAAGTATTAGTGCATTATTGAAGATTCGAGGGTTCTGTTTTGGGATAGTCGAAAGTGACAGTGTTTCAGTGCTTACAAAGTGTTTATAGAGATACTTCACATGGTGACAATGTTTAAGTGGTTTGGAGACCATCCGAAGTACGATAAGTTACTACAACTTTAACTTAGTGTGTTGAATATTTTATAGGTTTAAGCTTTGTCTACATATGTGTGGTCTTGTGTTGTCCTTGGTTTGGCTATGTGTGTGGTCCTGTTTTATTATCCTTGGTTTAGTTATATGTGTGGTCCTATGTTGTTGTTCTTGGTTTGAGGCAAGAAAATGTGGTTTCAAAGCTATCAAAATATTGTTTTCTTATTAGATGTTGCAGCCAAAGTAATATTGTTTTTTCTGTTAGATAAACCTAAGCTATGCACTTTACAATTTCACCATTTTGGTTTGTTGGAAAATGGTATATATAAGGGTGGGAAGGTGTGCTTTGCAGACAACTGTGTGAATATAATATAGCCAGACTGCTACACTCTTTATATATACACCCGCCCAGCGCCTATGCTCCAAGTGTCAAATAGGTACCGCCGTGCGACTGTACTATTTTTTTAAAAAATAATAGAAAAACGAGTATAGTTGCATAGCTATACTATTTTTTTTTTAAACAATTAGTGAAAAACTGAGATTTTTTTTACAAATATGTAGTATTTTTATTCAATAATATGTGAAAATTATATGTATAATATGTGAATTTTGTATCTTATTGAAATTTTTGTAAAAAATAAGTGTATTAAACATGAAAAATACGTGCATACGTGTATAATACATTATTAAACGTGAAAGTTCTAAAATCTTTGAGAGAGTATGAGAAAGAGAGATGGATACTTGGAGAATAGTGAAGAGAATAATCATTGGAGAAGATAACAGAGAAGAATCCTATGGAGAAGAAAATAAAAATAGTGTCTGATTTTTCACATAGAATGTGTATTCTTTTTTTCCTAGCCTTATAATTAAGCGTGTATTATCTAAACCGGAGTGTGTGGGTTGTATTAGTTAATCAGGTAATGAGAGTATTAAAAGCCCAAACTGTTTAAAATAGTCAAGTAATTAAATAATACAAGTTGACACCAAACAACTGACAGACTATTTACTCCTATCTAGAGTCTAATATGGTGTACCAAAAGATGAATAAAATTTTACTTAACCAAAATGCTTATAAACTTTTGACATAATAATAAAATAACCAATTAATTATAATTAATTACTCTAAAATTGTAGTTGCACTCTAATAGTTTTAAAGTCAGTAAGACTCATGAACAATGCCCCTTCGAACTATATATCTGAATGACAAATTTGTCATTAATATTGTTTAACCAATGTAATATCATTTTCATATATTTTTCAATAAAGGTACTCTTCATAGAAACAATGAGCGCTAAATTTAATTAATTATTATTACTTAAGGAAATATTTCTATTTGATTAAAAGAGGGTGAGAATATCTATTCATTATCATAGGCTTAACTACCCATGATACCGTTTTGATAGTTTTTTTTTTTTTGTTTTTTTTGTTTTTTTTTTTTGTTGTTGTTGTTGTTGTTGCTAAATTTAGGAAGGAGAAATGGGTTTTTCTCATACACAACCACTGTGTCACGAGAATTTGAACTTGAAATCACTTGTCTACAAGTCAATGTCATTTTCTACTAGTTTAAACCGTGTTGGCCGTTTTGATATTCTAATAAGACATATCACTTGTTGGTAAGTCTTGTAGCAAGAACAGGCGTTCACACTTTCTCTCCAAACTGAGAGATTATGATCTGCCCTTACTAATGATGACGGCATTAATTAATCTATGACTATACTTTGATTAGTATCTGATGATCTACCAATATGCAACTCATGCACTAAAACATTGAAGGTTTGGTGCATCTATATGCAAGTGTGTTCAAGGGTTCATGCAAAACTAAATTTAGAATGATGAAAAAGAAATTGAGTCTGAAAATTAAAGGACATATAAATACCAAAATTCATTCTAACATGACACAAAAGAGGCAAAAATAGTTGTGCGATTAAAAAACCTCAGTAGCTGAGTCTTTCCAAGAGAGAAGTAGCCATCTGCAAAACAAGGGAGAAACAAATCAGTGATTTCGGTCAGGCGATTCGGGCAGCAGGTTTCCTTCAGAATCATAATCAATTTTCCCAGAAAAATTCAGTGGAGCACAACGTTCTCCCATAATTATGCTTTTCCTCCAAACTGCTTCATCTCTATCATCATCATCATCATCATCATCATTCAGTGGAGCACAACGTTCTCCCATAATTATTCTTTTCCTCCAAACTGCTTCATCACTATGATCATCATCATCATCATCTTTTTGATCTTCTTCTCCTGCCTCCATCTTCCTCCATGAAACCATCTTCGCCATCGCCAGAGCTTTGCTACTAATCTTGCTGTTTAACTTGGCAATGAACTTTGCATCTTTCGACTCGGAGTTTGTGATCGCTTCCTCCTTTTTCTCGTTTGATTTTTTACTCTTGTGGGAAGCACAGAGAAATATTAAGAGAGAAAACATGGAGAAAATTACAATGGGGGCGAAGAGAAAATGTGATGGGTGTTGAAACAAATGATGAGAGGCCATGGAGGAGCTTGGAGCAAGAGGCCTTGC